AGTGAGAGCCAATCTCCCCCCTCAGAATAATGACAGCAAGATTCAACTCAGAATGAAGAAAGAAAGGAAAGGTACAATCACCCAATCACAGCTCAGAACTACAGAAGAAGACAAAAAGAAAGACTTCTATAGACAACTGCAGTCAGCTGACCAGAAAGTCGAGGAGCGGGTAGAGACCTCAGAAGATTATATACTAGATAACCAGGTCTCTATGCGGGAGGAGATTAACAACGCGGGGAGCCTATGGAAGATGGTCAAGTCAGTCTAATTACCAAGAAGAGCAGATAAGTAAAACAATGGGATGGTCACTTCAAATGATGCCATAGCCGAATATCACCAGCAACTCCTCCAGATATACCACAAACAGCACTCACAGAACTGTCAGTGGGCACTAGTCCTCCGACAAATAAGGAAATCTGGAATGTGATTAAGCTTCTGAAGCCTATGATAGTAGCAGAACCAGCATTCAGGGAAAATCATAAGCGACGTAAATTGCAACGCTACACATCACCATCGATCAGAGCACAGAGTACCAGTCAAAGCTCTACCTCAACTTCATCGATTCTGAAAAGGCCTTCGACAGACAATGTTGACAGAGAAGTAATCTGGAAACTATTTCAACACTATGCCGTTCAGTGCTCAAATCTTTATCAACCTCGTTCAATTGCTACGTGACTATGCCATGTGACAAGTGATCCCTAACTGAATTGGATAGAGGAATAATATGTGGCTGCTGCCTACCATTACCCAGGACGATATCACTCCTTGTGATGGACTGAATCACACGGAAGACAGTGCGTGGAGAGTGAGAAGACAGAGGAATACATTGGACCGGTAAGAAGAGTCTAGAATATCTGGACTTCACAGAAGATTTGTGTCACATATCACAGAAACTCCACTTTTTGGTGAAAAGTAAGGAAGTTCACAGTAGTGAGTGATTGGCAGCGAAGGCAGGACTTCAAGTGAATGGAGATAAGAAGGAAGAGATGGAGATAACCAGTCAACAGCAACAACAACAACAACCAGTACCAATCACTATCGACGGGAGAAATTCGAAACAAATTTACTTCCTTCTCTTATCTGGCTAGGAAGCCAGCATGGTTTCAACCATGGGTTGGTGGCATAGATGTGGATTTGAAAACCAACCCGAATCGGAAAGGCAAGAAAGGCCTCCATCATTGTGAAACCAGTTTGGAAATCTTCTTCAACAACTCAGCCAGCGTAAAGAACACGAACTTCGAACTGAACTTTGACACAAATACCAAGTTATTCACTTTTTGTATATGGGTCAGAAACTTCGCTCTGGCATCATGAAACGCATTTCCAACAGGTTGCAAACTTTCATCAATATCTATCTTTGTTGGCTCGATACTGAATACCAAATGACCAAAATGAATTAACAGTGAGAGACTCTGAGAACGAACTAATCAAATAGGCTAAAAAACATTTCGATGGATTAGGCACCTGCTGAGACTGTTAACCGACATTGCGCGCAACGTCCTTTAGTGTGACCAGAATAGGAAAGGACGATTGGGGCTTCCTAGGTTTCGACGACACAATAAGAAGACGTAGTTTATCTGAAACGTGTAATGTGTATTGGCGCAACACATTTCGGACATTCTGATTACACACACTAGTACTTGTCATACACAGTTTTTATAGAAGGCAAGAAGGCATGAATAATTACAATACAGGTCAGATTGTGTACAGGTCAAGGTCACGAATAATGACTAGGGACACGCAAAAGGTGTAGGTGAGAAAGATAAAAAACAAGGCAAAGAAGGGGTTGAAAATATTATGAAGTAAATTGGTCCTTGGTTTTAACTTTGATTACCAAGGCAGGTTCAAGGTGATAACAAATAGCTTTTGGACGCATAAGACAGACAGGTTTAAGTCTTTTTATGGCTAAGGCTTCAATGAATTTAAGTATGCGGCCCAACCTTGTTTTATATATTGGCTTAAACGCATTGTTGAAATCAACCTTGTGATCCGTCTCTATAATATGCTTCGCTATACCACTTTGGAATGTGTTCTGTAGCCCTAACCTGCAGAGACTGATGGGTCCTCCCTATGTACGTGTCTCCACACATACATGTAAATTGATAAACACAGTGGGATGTGACACTATCGTTCGGATAATGTGAGGGTTTACAGAACACCAGGGTTCTTGTTATCCCTACGAAGATAAGTTTAGCTGCATAATAGGTTCTATTCATTGCGGCCCTTAGTCTTTGTCTAGTGACTAGACTTTGTTGGTCACCTATGAACGGCAAGGATATGTAAACATCCTTTTTGGCGCGGATTCCATTGGTAGAGCTCTATGGTTGACACCTCAGTAACGCCTAATAAATCTCAGTGGGTAATTGTCATCTAACAATATTTCAGTGAGGTGTTGTCTTTCTTCTTCAATTGTATCAGCAGTGCATATGCGGTGAATGCGCTTGAACTAACATTTAACCAACGCCTTTTTATACTGTAGTGGACTCAAACTATGATAATTTAGATACTCTCCAGTCCATGTTGACTTAATGTCGACAGATCGTTTTACTGACCCATCTTCTCGACGGGTAATGAGTACATCTAAAAATGGCAGGCAATCATTATTCTCTTTAATGTATGTTAGCAATATACTGCTTTGTGCTCTGTTGATCTGGTCCAGGATTTCTATGGCGTCTGTTGGTTTATCACAAGTGACTATTATGTCATCTACACATCTTTTATAAAAATAAACTTTTCCAATTTCTTTCTCCGCTAGGTTCTCGACATGCAATATATATATATAATATAATATATAAATAATATATATATATATATATATATATGGTTAAGCCAATATATTACACGTTTCAGAAAAACTGCGTCTTTTTATTGTGTTGTCGAAATTCATAAAGGGAACTAATTGCTTCCTAGGTTGACAGTTGACAGGAGATCGTGCGAAGAAGAGATAAAAGAATATGGGCCGTCATGAGGCCAGATAAATAGGATTGCAGAAAATAACACACAAAGTGGGGAAGTGTTGTTGAATCTGTAGGTTCCACTCGAAACCCAAGAGAAATGGCCGGAAATCATACTAGTTATGCCATCGAAAACGTCTAAAAGTCTCAAACTTTTGTCAGACTTATCCTCCTTTCAGATCCTGGCAGAAACAATGACTTGCAGTTTACCTATTAGCAGTTTGAAGAATACTGTTGTCGACAATGTATCAAACATATTTTTACGCCTCCATATCGTCCACAATCAAATCGTCAACTGTAACTGTAAATAGAGCCCTGCTTAAAATAGATTGAAAAGAGACACTACAAAACATCACCTACTCGCCAAACAAACATCTACCAAATGAAATTCTTTATAGACGTAGACTGAAGACCACTCATAGCTCAATATTATCAAGAGAACCAAAGCGTGCAGAGTACCAGTGAGAACGAAAGAAAGTTACAGTTTGATACAGTTGTCTATGTCTTTGATTACTGAGTGTGCGTGACACAAAGCTTAGGATTATTATTATTACTATTTCCTTTTATTCCTAGAGTAACATGAGGCTTCAGCCGCGAGTCTCCATTGCCTTCGGTCTCTGCCAACGTTTTCACCCCGCTCCAAGTCTCCCCATACGCTTTTATATCCTCTTCGCATAACCTCTTCCAAGTCACCCTTGGACGACCAACTCACCACTTCCCTTTTGGGTTCCACTCGAGCAATGTCACTTGATGGTTTGTTTCCTCAGAGTACGGCCAATCCATCTCCATGCATTCCTGCCCGTTCGTTTCATAATCAGTTCCTGGTTGGTTCGCTCACCGCTAGAGACCCCTGTTGCTGATCTTTTCTGGCCGGCCATCTGATCTTGAGTATTGAGCGAAGACAACTGTTAATGAAGGTCTGAAGTTTGTTTGAGATGCTCTTTATGACGCGCTGGCCAAATCTCTGATCCGTATAGTAGCACTGACTGACTTCACATTGTAGTTGAAAATCCGGATCTTATTTTGATGCTGAGTGCTGTTGACCTCCACACAGACTTGAGAGTAATAAAAGCTTGTCTTGCTTTTCCGATTCTTGCTTTGATATCCTCATCAGCTCCATCCGCCTGTAGTTTAAACGATGCGTCCCAGGTAGGTGGGTAGGTGAAGGAGGTTGTTTCTTTCAGGTTACTCCCATTTATGCTGATTGTTGTCTGTCATTGTTGGCCAGAAATCTTGGGATGAAGAAGAGAAACAGTGCAGTGTTTCAGCGTCCCTTGAAATAACTTAAAAATCGCTTCTGACATGTAGACTAATTAATCTACAATAAAAAGCACCTTAGTGATCTCAGACCGATCCAAAGGAGGCGCATTGCTGACCATCTATCTTAATAAAGGCTAGTGTGTTAATTTTTAATTTTTTAAAATTTAATTTCTTAATTTTTATTTCATCTTGATTCCACACCGTATTTTTTGGTACCGGTATGGAATTTTCAGCATGTGCTATCGGTAGCCCAAATTTCGCAGGCCAACCATAGATATCAGGGGTGAGTCGCCGAGGGATCGAACTTCGGACCATGTACATGGTCGGTGAGTGTCCTAACCACTGTGCCACCGACACACATGAAACTATGGACTAGACCAGTAGTCTGTCAGTGGGAATTTCAGATCACCTCAATCTGTCAGGTTAATTTGAATGAAACAAAGTAATCTGCCTATCTAAAATAATTTCTGAAGTACTTTCGAAAACATCTAAAGCTCATAGAGCGCAAACTGACCATTGGATTTTAACCTTCTACACTGATTGTCCTCAGTTCAATTCCACATGGGTTCATGGATATATATACTAAGTGGAGAGTTATGAACTAGGACAAAGGTTCCCTTTATCTATATCTGTCTTACAACGAAATCTATGTTGGAATCCAATCTCAGTTGCCCCTCGACCACCACCACTGCCACACCCTTTTGAATGAATAGAATAAAAGAAAGGCTTATTGATGTGCTGTTTATTGATACTTTTTATTCAATTCATAATTTAGTGATCCATCTAATCTCCCAATCATCTCTCCCTTGATCCTCTTCGTCTTCTATTAAAAATAAAAACAGACAAACAGACAGACAAAGACAAGCATAAACAAAAAGTGCTTCAAAAATAAAAATAATAACAACAATACTACTCATACGAATACTAGTAGTAGTAATAATTACAATAATAATAGCAATCATAACAATTATAGCCAATAGTAACAAGCTCATAGAAAAAAAAACATGATCGAAAAACGCTGAAATGACATAACAACACAGGGTGTGGCTTTGAAAACGCCCCCACACACACCCACACACACATACGCACACATAGAGAGACACAGAGACAAAGAGTGAGAGAGAGACCAGCTCTTCAGCGAGAAAAAAATAAAAGACTTTTAAACAAAAAGGATAATCAATCGAACCTAATAGTCAGTATTAGTAATTCGTATAGTAATAACAATAATAATATGAATAACACGAAATGCTTTGTGCGTTTTGGCAAAATAGAAGTATCACTGTTTGAGTATGAGGGGAAGAGAAAGGGAGAGATAGAGAGACATGGAGACGGTGATTAAGTGAGTGAGTAGTTCAGTGAGTGAGTGAGTGACTGACTGACTGACTGAGTGATTAAGAGGGATACAGGAACCGAGAAATGGAAGGAGATAAGCACATTAGGCGTACTATGCTGTCCAGAGCAGACGTAATGCAGCATATATAGCAAAATATGTGTATATAAATTCAAATTTGTGAGTATTTTTCAATATGAAAATAATAAAAAAAAATACTAACATGATAATATTATCGTACTAGTAATAAATCGTAGAATAGTTTAATTATTGAAATAATACTTTCAAGAGGCTTCAAGTAAATGAAGTCATTTCACCCAGTGAAATGGTATAGAATGATAAAAATATATATATATCTAAAACTGTAAATATTACTAACAATAGTCACATGAAAGTAGTATTTAAAAGAATAACAATAATAATATTAGTAATACTAATAAACAAACACGCATAATAAGTAATTAAGTTGATGAATCGATCAACGGTTTCATCAATGACTTTTCGAATTCTGTGTGAAGAAGCTGTTGAGGGATATCATATTTGATCCCCCTAAAAATGCCCCTAAAAAACAATCAAAAACAAAACCCAAAAATTTGAAAAATAAGTTTTTAGAAAGCAAATAATAATGATAATAAGGAATATATATATATAGAGAGAGAGATGCCAAGACCAGTTGGATCAAAATAATAATCACCCATTGTCTCTGATACAAAAAAATATCCTATAAACAGAAAAAAGAAAAACGGAGAATATTTCGTGCGCATATCATACTACTATCAAAATAATAAAGTAGTATAACAATAGTAGTAAAAGTAATTGCAATAACTAATATTAAAGATTCACTAGGTAGAATTTTTATAGTCAATTAAGAAGTTAGTTGGATAGTTGGTTGAATATATATTTCTAGATTCTGTTGAATAAAATAACTAGAACCATCTTGATACTGACAGTAAATAACACTGAATGGAAGCAAGTCCTTTTATAATGCCCTCCTCGTGAAGGGAACAACAGACAAAGCAATCCGATGAAAAGATCACAGTCATTTCACGATCAAAAGTGTGCCACCGTTTCTACACTCATTGTCACTACAACATTCTTAAATGTATATATACCTAAAAATCTATGATTATTTAGGAATCAGAGAGAATAAACACTCTGTTATAGTGCGTAGCTTTGAACACTGAGGTTGAAGGATGGTGAAGAAAACAGGGAAATGAACGAATGAGTGAATCAGGTAATTAGAAGGCAGAATAGAATAAAAATAGGGAGAATTTACCTGTTGAGAAATAACAAAAACACAAAAGTAACTGCTGACAGTAGGAACAGGAGGAGCAGGGAAAGCAGGAGTCGAATTAGTAAGAGTAGCGGTAGTGGGAGTGGGAGGAGGATTAGTGTACAACAAGAATATCCGTAGATATCTGTCGAACAGAAATGCATTTATCACGACCTAGTTAAAATAAAATCTAGAGAATTAGAACATTAAAAAATCAGAGAGAGAGATAATCCGCTTAGATATGAAGACAACATAGGACTGCTTGTACAGAAATTATATCCGTCTTTTCTAAACAGCTTCACTCCTTGATTTTTTTTTATCACAGAAATTGGTTTGAACGCTGAATGCATTATAGAAAAAAAGATGAACATTGATTCTCTAAAAATCACCAGATTGATCACCAGGATCATCGTCATCATCGTCATAACCGAAACCAGGCGGGAAAAAGTATTGCATTTGTGGTTGTTGAGCAGTTATCTCGGGTGGTTCTACAACAGATGGTGGTTCTGGCAATAGTGGTTGTGGTTGTTGTTGTTGAGGTTGTTGAAGTGTTGATGGTCCAGGGAATGAATAACGATGAAATAATGGTGGCGGATGTAACAATGGACATTGAGCTATAAGATGAGTAGGATCACGGCATCGATAACAACGTCGTCTCATTGGTTCATATGGGCAAGTTGCAGCTTTGTGAGAAGCATATTGTCCACAATTATAACAGCTAATTATTTATATTGATGTGGTTTAATAAAAAAGAAAAAAAATACGAAGCGATAAAAAAATTAGTTAATTCAAACCAGAATAATAATAATTATTAAATATAAAATACTTAATCATATAAAAATATTTAGAGTGTGGGTTTTTCAAAGAATGAGGGCGTAATCTTCGCCCAGGTTCATAGACAAGAATCTCAAATCAAAGAAGACTTCCAAACAAGTACAATCCATCCCAAAGAAGATACTTCTGCTTAATGTTGAATTCAAAGGTGATAATTGAAGCAGAAATCCTTCTCAAACGCCTCTGCAAATCTTTGAGGAAAACATACTTCACGGTGAGTCTACGACTGACGTTTCCCCGCAAGAAACCATCCAGCCAGAAAGCCAAAGACAAGCTGTCGCATTAGATCACTTCAACGTGCATATACAAATTTACTTGCTCGTGCGGAGCTGAGTATATCAGCCGTACCATGCACAAACTTGAAAAATGCTCTCGTGAATACTATCCAGCCTGGCTAATAAAAGGAGAACGAAAACGTCAATTTCAGGACATTCAGTACCATTCCAGAAATCTTTCAAAGTCATATACAAGATTTGATCAAACCTATCAAAGGGAGTAAAATTTTAAGATATTTAGGCTTAGCCGAAGCACTAGCCATCCAAAAGCTCGAACCCACGCTATGTATCCAAAAGAAATACATCCAACCCTTGTCTCTGCCACGGCCATCATGAACAGGTAATTCCACGAATAGTGACTATCCCATTGCCTTTCTTATCCAAACTTCTTGTTTATTCATGCTATTTTTGAATTTTTCTTAATCCGTCCTATTTACACTACCACATTTTCACATCCAAATTTCCTGCCTATTTTCTGTCATTTTATTATTTCTACATTTCTAACCCCCAACTGCACAATATGTCAATCTTTTTAGTAATTATGATGCCATTTTGTTCGAGTTACACCAGTCCCTTACCTACGTGTTTATTGTGGCATTTTGACTCCTAATTGTAATTTTATTAATTTGACCCTTGACCGGAAATTATTCTGGAACTAAAAATATATGTGGATACATATCAGGAACTTTCCCAACCATCTATCATAAATACACGAATATACAGCCTAGTTGACGGTGACTTCGTCGAAAAGAAAATTTCCTTCGCTGCAACCATCTTTTAATAATTCCTGTGATCTAATGTGTATATTCCTTAATGACAGATTCATCACTAACCAACACCACTGAAAACCGTTAAGCGCTGGATAGCCGTATCACCCTAGCTTTGGAGTCTTCAACCGTGTTTGCCCACTACCCTACTCGGATTCGAATACAAAACCTACAACTGGACCAACATCAAGGAATAAATCAGACAATTTCGGCTGGAACTCAACAACTCGTGAAGTCTACAAATCCCGTCATCCGGTTTAGCTAATGGGTATCCAATTCACCTTATAAAATGGTGAGTCTCACTGGCCACGACTTCTGATTACAACTTAAGAGCATCCACCAAGTAGACAGCCACCAATTAGCTGGAGTTCGATATTTAGATTATGGCCTTTGGACTTGAAGCATTTGGATTAATTTGAAGGTGAGGTGAATGCCCGGCTAAAAGCCCGGCTAATAAGGCAAGCGTTAAATCAAAGTTAGAAATCACGGGTCAGTGAATTCCAGCCAAAGTGGCTGAGAATGGTCTATGAGTTTCATCTCAAAACCTGAAGGCCCCTAGTTCGACTTCTGATCACGTTGTGGGAGCACGACAATGAAGAGCCTTTAAATAAAACAAAACATAAGAAAAAGATGTAATTCTCAGGACTTCATTATGAGCTGACATTGGTTATAGAACCATTCGAAATCATGGGAATACTGGACACCTGTGTTGTCCTGTATTGAGTCATAAGAAAAAGATGACGCAAACAACAGGGGGGGGAGGGATTTTCTTTTCGACGATTTATTTTCATAAGTGGTTGTACAGTCGTAATTATATTTAACAAAGGCTGAGTTTAGAAGGGTTGATTAATTGAAAGTTAGAAAAGAAACAAAAGTTGGCATGACGTAATAAGCATGAGAAAATGACATCATTTAATTATCCACCCCATCTAGAATAAACCTTCATTACGTAACACATTTTTTGAGGACAAATTTTATCGGTATCTAACTGGTCATATGAATTCTTTGTTAAATATAATCACAATTGTGTACGGCAGATAATGAAAATGAATCTTCGAAAGAAATTTTCCCGCCCCACCCCCGCTGTTTACGTCATCTTTTTCTTGTGACTTTAATTTTTGAGAAAAACAGATGTCCAGTATTCCCAGGATTTCGAATGGTTCTATAACCGATGTCAGCTCATGATGAAGTCCTGAAAATTGATCATGTTGTGAAATGAACAGATTAAATATTGTAGTGGAAATACATTTGAACTCTGTGCATTAAATTCGTTAATATCACCTTGTCAGATATTGAGCACACCTCCTTATACACACAATTCTCCGCTTGCATTTTATCAGGTAGGCGAACTAGAAGGAATTATAAAAGGCTTTCAGGATTTTCATTATGATCTGACATTAGTTAGAGAACCATCGGAAAACCTGGGAGTACTGGACAGCTGTTTCATCCTAGCTCTGGACTCTTCATCAGTACGCACCCATTGGGGTTCGAACCCACAACCTCCTGGTTACAAGGCGAGCTAGCTCGTATACCATTAAGCCACTGGGACCCAATCCAATGGTTCATGAATTCTAGCTTCTGCCAATTCACGACATAGCGTGACCCCTAGCCAATGTCTTCGGCGAGTACCTGTCCTCACACCCGACCTGCTGCACCCTACTGGTCACGAGTTCTCACTAGAACCCCAGGTAACTACCTACCTGAATAGGGCAAGTCTCTAGTGAGCATCTCATTGATATTCAAGTGTTGGTTTGTAGGGATTTGATTGGTTACAGGATTTTCGTCATGATCTGACATTAGTTAGAGAACCAGTGGAAAACCTGGGAGTACTGGACAGCTGTTTCATCCTAGTTCGGGACTCTTCAGCAGTACGCACCCACCAGGTTTTATCCTCGCACTACTAAGGATTAACAAAATTCAAAGCTACCTTATTTGACATAAATTCAGTACAATGAAGCTAAAAATTCACTGCAAGACAGTGATAAGTAAACGGTTTATTCTTTATCCTTACTACTATTAACATCAGATTATTCAATGAGGCACACATAAATATTTAATTTATTATGGAACATGAAAACGATGGAAAGTTCCATTTCCTTGACATTACCATGCAACGCCTAGAAGATGGTAGTCTCCAGAGGTCAATCTACCGAAAGCTGAAATGGAATGGACAGTTTGTTTTTTATTCTCTCACGTTCCCCAGGGGAACAAAGGGCTTCAAGCTAGAGCTTTTTTGAAGTTTCAGTAGCAGTGTTTATTTTTCCACGATGGGGTTGCAAGCCTCATACCCAACATTTCCTGTTTACCAGCTTTATTTCTGTTTTAGCCAAGTAAAGGAGTGCGTCCAGTGGCCGGGGATCGATCCTCGGACCATGTGCATTGTCGGCGAATGTCCTAACCGCCGTGCCACCAACAATGGAATGTACAATTCTTTTATTTTAATAGTTTGTGTTCAAATAGCTATAAACGAGCGCTAGTCAAGACTCTGTACTATAGAGTTAAGAAAATAAGCTCTGCAGAGAAACTAGAAGAAGAATTTACCATTCTCGAAAAGATGTTGAGAAACAACGGTTATCCTCAAAGATTTACTAACAAATATGGAAGATGTTAAGGCTCAAACATCACACAAACTACAGTGACAAAAAGCCTGTCTTCATTCAATTAGATTTAAAAGGTGAAAACATTGCAGCAATAGTCAACAGAAGACTCAGTACGTTACTAGTCCTGCAGCCTATCCTGCAGCAAGCCAAGTTGGTTCCCGTCCATCGAACAACATGCTCTTTGGTGCAGTCAAAAGTCGATAGATACCCCCTTCTCATGTTAACTCCAACTGTGTATAAAAATTTACGTATATCTGAGAGAGCAGTTACATTTGGGAGAATAGGAAGAAGGGCACATCTCCAATTTTCTGGACATGTGCTGAAAAGCCTACGTCTTAAGGGAAGAAACTCTTATAATAGCGCTATTATCAGGCATCTCCTCGATACGGGTTATGAGGTGGAAATCGTGAATTCCTTTAAAACTATCAATAGTTAAAGGAGTGCGATTCTCCTCAATTTTGCCGAAGTAATTTCTGTCAAACTCTTGAAACCAGATTTATGTATTCAGAAAGAAGCGGTTATCAGTATTTCCTTGCCCTGGAAATCGGATGTCTATTCTTTCTTTCACTTGATTACGTAATCTTCGGCTTTAACCTCACCCTCCGCTGTGATATGGTGTAATTTCGCTTGTCTCTTGTTTCTATGATATGAGTTGAACTCAGTACATTGTAACCCAATTTATTAGTCACTCAGCATCTTACGAATCTCTAGTCCTTTACCATTCTATGCATACATTTACTTTGTTTGAACTCGAACTACCTGTATGAGAACTATATAAGCGCAGTTTCCTGAGCACTGTTCACTAACTGCGGACCCTCCTGTTAACTGACATCATGAAAAACATTTGCGAGTATGTTAAGACTCTTCTATACATAAACCTCATAATTTATTTAGGCTGTAAGAAACAGCTGATGAGAAGCCAATGAAATAAACAAAAGATGATACCATCTTCTTATTCTGCACAAACCACCGCTGTTGTTCTTGCTTTATTCAAATTTTATTAAAATATTGTTGTCAATTTTATTCCTTTACGTTCCCAGTGGAACATAGGGCATCAAGCTACAGCTTTGAAGTTTCGGTAGCAGCAGTGTTTATAATAGAGAAGATTTGTAGCTCAGGTGGATAGTTTTCAATTAATTGTGTTCTCTAAGCTGGTTGGTTTAATTGCAGGGATTTCGTCGTCATTCTGGACAACATCCCCCTTCAGCGAAAGTTTTAGCATAAAATCAATTGATTTAAGTT